AGGTGGAAAGGAAAGAGGGGGCGCGTCTAAAGACTGTGAAATTCAATGCCATATGCTAGACAACTTAATGAAAACATAAATCTCTACATATGCTCAATGATAACTGAGGAGAGGAGAAACTTGGAGTGCAAGTGTTTGAGGCTCATTCTCACTCCTAAATTGTCAAAACTTGTAGTTTAGCATAGAGTCAATGTGAGTGATTTCATGTCCTCTCTGTGGTTGATGGCTGGCATGGCTCTGTGCTTGACAGGGGGGGAAGGAAAGAGCGGGCGCGTCTAAAGACTGTGAAATTCAATGCCAGGCCAGGGTCCTTTGATTCAAAAGGGGTAAGTGTCTTTATGAGACCTGAAAGTGACAATAATTTGTATTAGTACATTCATTTGATGATTCATAATGTAGCTCAAAGTGTGTGTTTTTACATTGACACTTGCAACAAAGACATAACCATGGGCCATAGCCTCACATTTCTAAAAGCCACATAATTACAACAAATAGCTAATTTCCTCTTTCTAGTGTTAATTTATGACAATTATATGTGTCATTGCTTTGTTAATACAAAGCACTGCACTTTCTGCACATTATGAGAACATTTCTAACCACACATTTCACTCTGCACACAGATGTTTCAAAAATACATCTGTGGTAAAAGTGCAAGCCCCTCCTACAAACCTTCCAGCTAAAGCTGCAATAGAAAGCAAGTGTAAAAATGTACCGCTTCCTGCTGTATAAACCAAAATTTTAATTGGCTAAAGGAGGAAATGGTGTTTGGAATTGGGATTGGTCTTCAAGCATGACTCTCCACATGAAACCCTGTAGCTGTAGAAATATTATACAGCAGCAGCTTAATTTGGTCTTCAAATGATGACAGTGACAACATATTCATTATTTAAAGTCTCTTTCTCTGGAGTTCAGTCTTTGTGTTTCATGTTCTTATGAAAGCCTGTTATGCTTTATCCTCAGTTATGTCTCTCAAGGCCTGATCTCGATAACTCTTCTCTCACTTCGCTCTTACTTGAAATGCTTCTCATGCCCTACTGGGTCCTGCAGTACTCCCACAGATGGACAAAATTAACATCTTTATTTAACTCCGAGCACTCTGTTTTCATGAACAGGGCAGCATGGCACAGACCACAATGAAATGCCAGTCGCGTTATGGGCAGAGGGACCTGAGGTGGAAATGGGCTGGGGTTAGAAATACACCATACAACGAGCCCGTTAGAGGTCAAGCAGCAAGGGGCAAATTTATCTTTATCTGACACAGTCAGCTTGTTGGATTGACAACCTAAAATTGATTAAAATAATCAAATGATTTCTTTTCTCAGCAGTATCAACACACAAATAACATGTAAATTGTACATGCGACAACACAAGATTTGACAAAATTTTTTTGCCGAGCCTATTTAATTAATATTTGCTACAGCAGAAGCAGAATTATTGTTCAATCAAATCCTTTATAACCAACATACAGTAGTCCTACTGTCTAGTGTCTATTCAGATACTTTACATCACATTACTTAGGAATACAATAAATCAAAAATGAAAATTACTATTAACCCTTGCACGTTGCTTATATATCATTGTCTCCTTTTGTCAGATCAACAGTGCAAAAAAAAAAAACAGGCAGCAAATCCTCACATTCTAGTAGCGTGAACTAGCATGTTCAGAATTTTTGCTTAATAAACAATTTTTTTTGCTATAAAATTTTTGTCTAACTTACAATAGAACAACATCGTTTTAGTAAGGATCTTGTATACAGTAACTGACCTGCTTTGGAGGTTTTATTAACTATTATACTGTAAATCAGTAAAATCGTATTGAAACTAGCTGTGATTCTGGGAGGAAGAGATGTTCAAATATTACTGTAAGAACTTCTTGACGCCCCACTTTCTCAAAGCAGTTGTGCCTGCATGAACATAACAGATACAGTATATCTGCCCCATGCTTTCTCTCCCTTCACAGTCATTCACTGACAAACGTAAAAAGAATTTCTTCTTTACACGAAAGTTCCCATTCTACAAGAACAAAGAGGGTGAGCAGGATGGCAGTGATTCAGACCGTAAGTATGCTCACAGACACACGTATATATACTGAGCATGCAGAAGCCAGAGTAGGTCGTATGTATGGCTGCATGGAGATTCACAGGTGTATTTCAAGGGTAGAGGCGATGTGGAGGCCTTACCTGCTTCCTCTCATGATCGCCTCCTGTTGTCTTTGTTTTCTTTCTCACTCAGCTGGATCACAGTCAGAGATGCTGTGGTACAGACACTGATCAGTTAGCAGGAGAGAAACCAAGACACTGCTGTTCATTTTGATTTCAAATGTGATGTTATAACAACCCAGTTTTCCCTCAGAGATCATTTTGGTTAACTCTGAACCAGCCTTAACATTATCATGATGTATGTGGGCCCCCCTGCTGGCTGCTCAATGTCTGTACAGAAACAGAGCTGTGGGTCCACAGCTTCTCCTTCCAATGCCTCCAATCTTTTGCTTATGTTGCGGCTGTCATCCTTCCTGTCTTTCTTCTGTTCTGGCTCTCTTTGGACTGCCAATAGGACATCCTGGGAATAAGTGATGATGGATATGGGACAAAGACATCCAGTAAGTTGGTTCAGGAATGATTTCTCATCTATGTTTAAACCCCCACCCCCGAACACACTCACATCAACAACAACAACTTCCATGTCACATTTCCTGTTGAAACATGTTTCTCATGCCTGTATCCTTGCATGCTAGATTAGCTGGATTTTCAGTTTACAGTCTTAACCTCTGTCTCAAGCAGGTCACTAAACTCACAATGGGTGACTTTTGTTTGTTTACTTGTTTATTTATATAGTCACAAGAAATTAACGTTATGTAAGGATTTCTCATGGAGTTACCTTGTTTTGAACCTGGATTAACCTTTAAACGTGGCAGTGTCTGACAGTTCCAATTTATATAGTCTGAGTGAAGCAGCACAGCCACTACAAGCCACCCAAGGTTTTTGCATTCTGTTTAGTGAGCCAAGCTTTACTGCCAAGCTTACATTGGCATGCTGAAAAAACTTTTACCTTTTTATAATTCTGACCTTTACTGCACATTTCTGCAGATAGCCGTCCTTGGTAGGCTAGTGGTTAAAGCACAGCGCTCTCACCGCTGCGGCCTGGTATCGAGTCAGGGTTGCATTGGGAGGGCATCCGGTGTAAAACACATGCCAAATGTCAACATGCGAATCATCAGTGTGACGATCCGCTGTGGCGACCCCTAAAACGGGAAAAGCCAAAAGTGACTTTTTTACTGGACATTTCTTCAGATATTATGTTTAAAGTCCCCATGGCATGCTTGTTTCCAGCCATTTAGTGTCTTATCTTGGGTACCTCTAGATTAGCTTTGCACCCTTCATAATTCCAAATAGTCTATAATGTTTCAGAATAATAAAACCAGAGAGTTTCTACCTAAAAGCAAGAGGACAGTTCGTGAACACGTACACTTCCTGCTTCTGATGTTATGCTGCAAGTAGACAGCACAACAAACCATGATGGCATTAATTAATGTGAATTTTTCCTCCATAGATAAGAAAACATTAGTATATGTACTGATGAAAAGTACTGATGTACTGATGTGTAACACTATAAACAAAGCAGGTAACTGAGAAACCCCACATTTTAACTGCATAATGCAGACATAGTAACTTCTCCAGCCTACAACAATTCTCTCCAGCGTTACAGAAACAAGTCATTAACAGACATGCAACATGTTTTTTTAAACTTACCATTAAGTCCCACCAAGTGGTGGAAACATCACTCCCTTTCAAGTAGCTCCAAGGTCGGTAAATCCAACCAGTGGTTGCTGCGTCTTCCCCCAGGAACCATATAATTTGGGACTAATTCCAGATGCAATTAGAGAGTGATCCGTCAGTACACTTCCAGTTATTTCTAAATATTAAACTAGCACACACTTGAAGCTTTTATTCAGAGGACAAAGTGAACTACACATACAGAATGTTGAATCTGTCCACAAACAATCATCCAACTCAGCATAAATGAAGAATACAAAGTAAATGTTAACTGGGGTTTATATTGGGCAAGTTCTTTTAATGGAAATTTCATCTGAAAGCTGATAGTAAACTCACCACAACTTGGTAGACATACTAAGAAAACCTTGAAACTTTCTGTTTTTCTATAATTAATACCAAACTACAAGGTCGTTTGCAGGAAACGTTCAAGAAATTATTAGGAAATAGTAGACCTGTAAAAAAACATTGCCATGGTTTTAGTGGAAATCAGAACCATGATAGCGGTAAATATTGGTAATTGACGTCATACGATATTTATGATAGCATTGCACATGTTTTCAGAAATGGTTGCACGTCTTCAGAGACAGGTGCAAAGAGATGTATTTACTCTATAAAATAAAGATTTCTGCCCTCTCTCCCACCTCAGTAATACACCCAGCCCTGCAATTATGCTGTGTAATAAATAATAAATTCTGTCCTGTTTTCCATGGCAGATGGCTCCAAATAGAATCTCAACATGTTAGAGAATAGTTTCCAAGGCACTCAATGAAATAAGCTGAAAGCATTCATTTGTGCAGTGAGCAGTAATAAAGGCTACATTTTCTCTCCTTTTCCATCTGTGTCCCAGTTTAAAGTTCTGACATATTTTTGAGCTTTGGATGTTAGTTTAGAGTTGCGGCATGTTTGGAGTCATGTTTGGTGTAAAGATAGATGCATAGTGTTCTCAAGGATATTTTGAACTTTTTGTTAATACAGAAATGCAGGAAGTGAGTAAAGCCCCCCTAACTGAGAGATAATTGCGGCATTTGTCCAGACAAAGGTGAAATGTCTGTCTGCCTGCTGGTGCCTTTCTTTATAGATCTAATGTCTGAGTCCAGGTTCCCTGAAATGCACATTATAGTCTCACATAGCTTCTCATCTGAAATCATAGTATAGTGTTTCACAAAATAGTTTAAATATAGATTAAGCCCACTTTGAGGAACCTTTCCGTTTTTGTCCATTGTGTTTCTGAGAAATTGACAAGAAATTGAACAGTCCTACTTAAAAGACCTGCTGCACCCCTTGTAATTGTATTGTGATGTTGTATGTTTGTAGTCCCATGTTTCTGTTTTTATTTGAGCTGACAAGACATTCCTATCAATCTGGTCAACACGAAGGAATCAGCCTCATCGTCTTAGGCTGAAAGGACAGCAGCCTTTTATTAGAATGGACTCTCCCTTGTCGAGCACCATAGAGCTCCCTGATGCCACAGATAGTCCTAATTAGATTGAACAGAAGGCGTTTCCTGATGTCACTCGGTCTCTGCTGACCATGTTACTCACAGTAACACTGCTGGGAAGCTTGTAGTTCTGATTAGATTAAGATGTATGTACTTTTTTTGTATGACAAACCTATTGTATGTTTTTCTTTTCATGGCAGGCCGTAGTCTTATGAGTGTGAATTTCTAGATGAAAAGATTTTGGCTGGAATGTTTTACTTAGCACCAGACAAACTGGTACCAGCCATATAATAGGGTTATAAAATTTAAAGCGAGTGAATCAAATGCAGCCAACCAGAGTTAAATCATATCCTACAATGGCAAGGTGCTGCTAGAAAATCCTTTACTGTGGAACAGCTGCAAGAAGTGTTGAAGTGTTTTTACAAAGAGTAGATAAACATTACAGAAGGGAAAAGACTACCTTGACATTCTTTATGCTGACAAATGTTTGGGCACTCAGCACAGAGTGATTGTTGAATTCTAATGCTCCACTCTGTAAAGCAGAAGGCCACACTACCAGACAAGAACTTTGTTCAGATGACAAAATGCATTTTTTTTATTATAACTCAAGTGCGGATGGTCAAAATTTCTTAGCAATGGTTCAAGGCAGTTTTGCTAATTATTTGATTATTTCTCTCAGCAGCCAGGTGGATTTGTCCAAGTGCTTCCATGTCCAGTGAAATGCCAGTGTAGCAGTTAAGAGATGGAAACAATAAACATATTTAACATGTTACACTGAGAACAAGTCACCACAAACATCTAAGTCCACATCAGAATATGCGACAGACTTCATAGGTAACTTTCACAATAATAGGTTCACAGAAGAACAGCAGAAAACGGCGTTTGTAAGGTTTAAACAATAGAGAATTGGTTTCTCAACATTTAGGTTTGTTTTAAATATAGCTATGTTCTCACAAAGTGAATGCATGCTTGTCAAAAGCATCTGCTCTTCTGCTCAACTTTCCAGACGTAATGCTAGTTAGAAGTTAGCAACCATCAAGCCACAGTGTGAACACCAACCTAGTGTGTCACAGCTTGTTGGTGGAAGAAAAAAAAAAAACTAAAAGAAGTTTCTCAGACAGTTCTCTGAAATATCAGCAGTGCTGTCAGTGTGATATCAGTAAATGTGTGGGTAACACCCTGCTGCACATAGAATAGCATTGCATAATGTCACTAAACTTTATTTTTTAATGCTTTTCTTTTTCAGATCTACATGCATGGTGACCGCTGGCTCTGTGTGTGATCCTCAGTCACCATGAAAGACTAGGAACTCAGCTCTCCAAGGGAAATGGCTTGTTTTATAATCCCTGCCCTGCTACCTGATGTATGACTCCAGCTGCCTGTGAGGGGCCTGTCAGCTGTTTATGGGAACTACCACTGTGTTTGCACTCTTGAGGATTTAAGCTTTTCCAGGACAACACTTCTTCATTTTTTTTTTTTCCCCCCTCACTGTCTGGCTGAAGCATCAACGCTTTGCACTAGAGCAGGGAGGCAACGAGACAATGGCAAACAACTCGTACAGTGGGGTGAAGAACTCCTTGGTTGAGGCCAACCACGATGGAGAATTTGGCTGCACGCTCAAAGAACTGCGCTCCCTTATGGAACTGAGAGGCGCTGAAGCAATAGGAAAAATTGGGGAATCTTATGGGGATATTCAAGGACTCTGCAATCGATTAAAAACATCACCTATAGATGGTAGAGTAATGGTTCCATTACATTCAATATGACTGTTGTTTAACTGGATCAAATACAGGATGTTTTCACAGCAGGGCTAATAGTGAGTGCTGTTGGAATGCTAATGTGGTGCACACATAGCTTAGGAGGCGTGTCACTGGCTGTGTCATCCACTTTGTGGATAACTTGACATCGCTTCCTTGGTAAACCCGTATGCCAGACAGGTGGTCACGTAGACTGGCTCTGACCTGGGCCAGTCCTGCTCTATTTCAAGGCCTGTGGATATGTCCCTCCCTCTCTCCCTTTTCACCTCTGTGTCTATGTGTGTGCATATCTGTGTGTAGGCTTCAGATAGACCAGCTGTCTGCCTGGGCACAGCACCAGCCTGCAGGCAGGTCAATGTCCCACATGTGGCAGACAAAAAAGGAGGCTGTAAGAGTAGGTGGTAATAACTTGAACATGTTGGGGAAGGAGTTCATCTTCTGAATAACTTTGGTGTGTTACTTTTTTTCTTTGATTGACTATAGAGATAAGATCTCGCCAATAGTTCTGGAAAACTTCCCAGCTAAAGCTACAGTAGAACTCCAGCACCTCTCCTTGCGCCGCTCTATGACACATTTCTTTTGT